ACTCCGGCTGAGGAAGTGGTTGTGAAAGTGAGCGACGCGAGAGGTTACTCACACCAAACGAAAAACGCTTTCCTGTGTCATTTTCAAACGATTTTGGAATTCCATCAATTGGAGGCGCTGTCTTAAGCAGTCAATGAGTACGTAGTACCTGTCGCCAATAGAGACTGAGGTTACTCACCGGAGCTTCATAGGAAGATTGGTCTAACACGATTATGCCGCTGCAATTCATCAGAAGCTCTATAAAGGGTAGAATGCTAGCCAAAATCCCATAACACCTAAATATCCTTTGCCGTTTAGGTAGCAATTCGTTAACAATTTGGCTACCATATATGGAGCAAGACTCCAAAAGATCGAGATTCGAGATATCCGGTATAAAAGGCCGTAAACCTGTACATTTGTAGTAAAACCTCGAAAACTGCAGTATCAGCGTTATCTTCATGACGAAATCAAACATGCAATTACAAAAAACCAACAAGAAGGCGGCAATAAATACTATATGTGCTTACCGAGTATCAGTATTAACACGTAATGAATATGATCTCAACAACAACAATCAAGACAAACAGTCGACACAAAAATACGACCCGCAGACTAATAAGGATCAATGGGAGAGTTGAGCTACTTTTTCGAAACCTTCGACGCGAGTGAAGTGAGTCCGCAGTTTTTCGTTCAAACACGAAAGCAGCTGAAATGGAGCAAAGTAAGAACTTATGCAATCTAGGATTCCTTTTTAGAAATAAACAAGATCAACTGCCGCACTGTATGCGGATACTGAAAACAGCTGACCATTAAATGGGCAACCTACATCCAGGAATGGCAAGTGCACACAAGATTACAGAATGGCGTCTGCTTCGGCTCCAAATCTCAAGGAGGACGGCGAAAGCACTAAGACTAGGCCTTGGAGGGAAGGGGAAATTCAAGGTGGGAGAATCAATCACAGTGTTGAATGTGTGAGATCACAGAAGCCATAAGCCGCTGTTTAAGCGAGAAAGCGCAGGCGGGAGCATATCGAAGTGGTTTGAAAGAAAGAGCTCAAGAGCTCCAACGACCGAGTAGCTGCGAAAATTGTGAAGAGGTAAGAGTCTCACATCCTATACCTGAAGTATTTCCCTCATATGAAGCTGTAGCGAATGTTTACATTGGCACGCGCAACTTTATCTGAATTTGCTATAACGGAAAGTGTGCAAATTTCCGCATCAACATTTATAAGCAAAGCGCAAACTTAACATTCATCAATGGAAGGCAAACAAGTGCTAGTGAAGGGGTTATTTCAACAACACTGGAACCGAATGGAGAAAAAAACAATTGGATTTATAACATTACCTTATCCTCCTTTTCTTTCGCTCCCAAATTCAATAAGTCGCTGATGGCAGAAAGAGGTAGCCAAACCCTGGAGTCTGTTGATTTCACCTGAAAATTCAAAAATCGGTATGCACCCCTACACAAGATCTTGGTAGATTTCGTTTCATTAATTCGCTGTGTAAGAAATCACAAAAATCCCAAAAAAGTGACTTTTCGAGCAATGATGGAAAACTTTGGCAATCATTCGCAAGATTTGTTTTGATGCCTAGCATCTGTGAGATATCAATGAATTGCTAACCTTCTTTGTTTCCTGATCGACGCAGTTCGCCGCTACTTTGAGACCTTGAGAAATCGCTCCATATTCAATCAAACACCGCAAATAACCACCAACATCTCGATCCTGAAAGCACTGTACACTGTTTCCAGAGTGAAATACAGTCGCACTCCCACGTTTCAATAACTGATGGCATTACGGGTTGCATCAAAATCGAAATTGAGAAAACTTGTAGAGTGAGCATGCTGGAAACTTTTTCCGCTAAAAAAATCATAACTGGAAGAAAACACACGTACCGCATACTCCGCATCCAGCCAACACGGAACTGGAATTTTGTGAGCCAAAAATGTGCGCGTTATAGCGCGCAGTGGACGTGAATCATTGGGCCAGAGACGTCTTGCAGCTGCAAGCAACCCACGCACAACAGACCAGTGATTACTAAAAAAAATTATGATCGGTTATGTTTCTTACAACAGGCCTCTTGACAGATGGGATTGTATTGCAAATCAATTTTCTACAAGTGATTATTTGATCGCTTGCAAAGAAAAGCGAAAGTGAACAAAGGGTGCTATACAAGTAGGGTGGGCACGCCGCATTTTTTGAACAGAAATGTATGTAAGTGGGACTGCTGCCCGCTACTATACTGTCACGAGAATCGGGGAATTCGTGAGCCAGGGGGAGTGTAGCCAATCTAGGGGGTGGGGGGTGAGGGCAGTCACTTGACATGCGTGAAAAGCTGGGTATGCCCACCCCACTTGTACAGAGCCGAACAAAGGATGTAGCAAGACCTGTTTCAATATAAGGTAAAGGTATACCTGGAACCAGTTTTCT